CTGCGATTACAAAGTCTCTACTACAACGAGCTTTACGAAAATGACAATGAGTATTCGTTGACATCACAAAAGTGGCAACGAGTGTTTGTTGACATCACAAAAGAGGGCCAGAGGAAAGCCATGCTGACGAGCAGAGTAGGGTTTGGGGGAGAGGGTGAAAAGACAAAATATATTAAGCGCTACAAAGGACAAGAAATTGTGGAGAGCCATGATCGCCAACATTAAAGAAGAACTAAATTATGACAAACGATATGAATCTCCCATGATAACTAATTGTCAACATTGAAAAAAATAAAATAAAATAAAATAAAACATCATTGATGTCCTTCGGAATGGTGGCTTAGTGGATAAGGAAATTGGTTAAATACATATGTTACCGCCATCAACTAAACGTGAATTCAATTCCCTGGTTCAGGGAGTGAAACACTGGTTCATTAGGAACGATCAATGACTGACATCATATCGACGTAATAACACAATAATCGTCAGATATCCCATGTCAGCCAAATAATGGACAGCGAAGGGTAGTTAGGGAGTATGCCTGTATTAAATAAAGTAAAAGTCAATTACTCATCTCAAAAATTGAAAAAGCTTCTTTGCAAAAAATACTTATAAAAGACACTGTAGGTGGTCCTGCCAATATATTTATAAATCATTTTGATCGCGTGCAAAAACATATATCTGAGACCCCGTTTGATTTCAGTGAGAAAAAGAAAGAGAGAAACGTTCTGCCAATACCTCCTAAATAGTGGACTGTTCCGATTTGATTGTGAAGAAAGATAGAAAAGACATATCAGAAATGCTGTTTGATTTCAGTCAAAGAAAGAAAGAAAGAAAGAAAGAAAGAAAGAAAGAAAGAAACATCCTGCCAATATTTCCTAAGTAGTGGACTGTTCGGATTTGATTGCGAAAAAAATGAAAATACATATCAGATACTGTTTGGTTTCAGTGAGAAAAAGAAAGAAAAAGAAAAAAAAACGCCCTACTAATACCTCATAAATAATGGACTGTTCCATTTTCATTGCGTGGAAAGACGGAAAAGATATACCTGAGACACTACTTGGTTTCAGTGAGAAAAAGAAAGAAAGAAAGAGAGAAACGCCTAGCCAATACCCCATAAATACTGGACTATTCCATTTTGATCGCGAAGAAAGACGTAAAAGACATATCAGAGACACTTCTTGGTTTTAACGTAAAGAAGAAAGAAAGAAATAAAGAAAGAAAGACAGAGGGAAACGCCTAGCCAAAACCTCATAAATAGCGGCGAAGAAAAACAGAAAAAGACAAATCCGAGACGCTGCTTGATTTCAGTCCGAAAAAGAAAGAAAACAAAATTAAAAAAAAGAAAGTCGTGAAATTTTCTCGAGTACTACTAGTTAACATTTAATGTGAAACACATCCTTACGATAATTACGTTCATTTCAAAGAATTATTGTATAATAACGTTGTATAATTGTGCGACAAGCAGATGGTTATTATTAATAATGGCGTCCTCTTTCTACTACATTCACAATTACACATCTTATTATGTGTAAAAACAAATGACGCGTGCACTCTGTCAGTTTCTATGGGTCGTAATGTCATGTTAACTTTTACGGATGTTATGAGAACTACGCTTTTAAAGCAATAACTCCTATTTTATGATGGTGACTTATGACATCAGAATTTTGGACTGCGGAGGGAAAACATATCCACTGGAAAATAATATTTTCAAAGATTTATTTTCATTTTTTTTTCAAATTAAATTGATAAATATTTTAAAATTATTTATGTGTTATAATATTACGCAGACACTTCTGAATTTTATTTTAATGAAATACGAGAAACACTCGTAAAATATTGTCTCGTAATTTATTATTGTCTGGGGCTTCTACTATATATTTTGGGATTCTTGACAATATCCAGAGAAGAGTCTTTAATGTTTTTGCAATGTTGGGCGGTTTCGCTTGTCACTTTTGCTATGTCAAGCGAAAGTTTGTTATCACTTCCAAAAATGCTCGTTATATTCGAGATTTCGTAGACGCCAGTACACGTAGTAGTAATGCCTTCCAATAATATCTGTACTACTAATACTTGTTCAAATAATATAATGATCAGAAGAGAATCGTAATCCGTATAGTAGAGAGAGTGAACGTATAGCAATATTGGATAGGCAAGAAGAGTGAACAGTGAACGTATAGTCATCACTCTACTTCCTATTTATTCACTTCCTTTATGATCACGTGATCTACTTAATAAAGGAACCGCTTGCGTTCCTCACTGGCGATCTAGTTTCAAACCACAGTATTGGCACGACACTTACTCTTATACAAAAAAGTAATCGATTCTGACCTGGCATCTCGGCTTCTGTCAATTTCTAAGACGTGGTTTCCCCGTGTTTTCTACAAATATTTTCATTGCAATTCTTCTGATGAGATTTTAGTGCTTCGAATGCATGGATTGAATCGTGCTACTTGATTGGCAACTAGGTCTCACTGTTTCACTGCTGAACTAAAAAATCATTTCATCCCAAACAAAGCAATAAAGCCACTAAGACGCAAGGGGTTACTGAGGGTTAGGGAAGATGAGAAAAACTACTATTAAGGAGAGATGAGAATAAAAGAACAAGAATTAAGAAGACAGAATCTTTAACCCTTGAGGCACGAATACAAGCAAAACAATAAAGCCACTAAGACGCAAGGAGTTACTGAGGGTTAGGGAATATGAGAAACACTACTCTTAAGGAGAGAGGAAAATAAAAGAACAAGAATTAAGAAGACAGAATCTTTAATCCTTGAGGCACGAACACAAGAGATTTTCCTGTTTTCTTAAATGGCTGTCAAAAAAGAAATCGATAAGTTTTAAAAAATCAATAATCGATGAAGCCGATCAAAAATCGATAAATTCAACTTTTTACCTCCGATTTCGTTCAAACTCAGTATGTAGGTTACTTACATCATGACGAGCTAAACGATACCTCATTTTTATTTCTACGCCACTGCGTTTAGCGAAAAACCGCGAAAAACGAAAAATCGATTTCTTCACAAATTTGAAACTAAAAACTCCCTCAATTTTCAAGCAATCTAATACAAACTTCACTCAATTGTAGCCAACAATAAGTTAATTGTTTAACAGTCATTTAACTTGATAATTGAGTCCACCTATATAGTGAAAACCCGCGTAAATGGTGATTTATACTGGTTTCTTTCTTATTTTTCATTGATTTTTCAACCAATTTTCATCAAACTTAACAATTGCTTTATAAATGTATCCTCTTTTACATCCCTGGTAACACACTGACAAATTGAATTTCAAGAACTTCAAAATAATTGTAGTTTGAAGCGGGTCTTCATGTTTCCTATTTTACCCCTTCATGGCCTCCGCTAACTTCAATTGAATAAAGACTACTTCTGTTATATCAGTAACTGCATTAATTCAGAATGTTTTTTTAATGAAAGTACATTAAAGAAATTAAAGAAGATAGACTGTTACATCTAAACATGATGCTGTTTTTGCTCCATTCTAATTGATGCTTTTTCTGATCGACCAACTCTGTATGGCTGCTAGTATATATATATATATATATATATATATATATATATATATATGTATGAGGTCTGATCAAAAAATATTGTGACCTTTGCTATAGTAACCGAGCTAAAATCTTTCTTTCTTTTTATGTGCCATGTCCTTTCAGGACGTAGGCGATCATGACTCTCGACATCCCTCTATCCCTTGCAGTTCTCAACAAGTTCCTTCCCTCTTCTTCCTCCCCCAGACCACGTTATGTCATCCACCTGCACAAGCTCGCCAGGTATGTCATGCGTTGTTTTCCCTTGTCTCTCTTTCCCTCTATTTTCCAGACTCACTTTCCTCATTGTGTGTCCCAGAAACTTCAGTTGCCTCTTCCTGGTGTTAAATATAAATCTCCTCTTTGTTTGCATCATCTCTGAGACCTCACCGTTGCTCACACGCTCGGTCCATGATATCCTCAGCATCCTTCTGCAGAACCACATCTTCGTCGCCTCACGCAGAGAGAATTCGCTTGGCGCAGATTGTCTTTGAACTCTATCTCGCATACACTCCTATGAATAAAGAAAGTTTGCTCTCGGGCGAGTTTTTTTTTTAAAAACAAAACCAAATAAAGGAGGAAAAAAAAACCCTAAAAAAACAAAAACAAAAAAAATGATATTCGCTAAAAATAATGGTTGAAGTCATAAAATGAATATAATATTAAAATACAATTATTTTAATAAAATTATTCTTTAAACGTTATTTTTTTATCCATACAAATATTTAAGTAAATGCTCTGTTTATAATAAACAGTATTACCAACATTAACCGGCCTGAATGTCCGAGAAACTTCATAGAAAATATGTGTTTTCCGACAGGGCCTTGTACAGGGTGAACATCATTGCAAAAAAACAAAAAAGTAAGAACATATCAGATTTACTATGTTGAATCGCCCTCAAAACCTTTGCTGCTGATGTTTAAATTCCACCTCAGTGTGTGTAGTACTGACATCATATTCTTTTAAATAATGGGTTCACATATCGTGTCCAAACTAAGTGGACAATAGAAATAAGGGCGTAGGTTTTATCTTGGAGGTTCCTTCTAGGTTAACGGGTTCACATATCGTGTCCAAACTAAGTGGACAATAGAAATAAGGGCGTAGGTTTTATCTTGGAGGTTCCTTCTAGATTAACGGACGAGACGAATGTATGTCTTCCGTACCTCCAAGAACGACCAGACAATTCCTCCTTATAAATTCTGACAGCACATTTATGTTTTTATTTACGTCAATCACGAGACAAGAATGCGTGATTTTTTTTGTTGTTTTTTTTTGGCAAATCTGTTGAGAGGAAAGAGAGTCGGTTTCGGAGAAAAACATATGACAGGTAATAAAATTACAATAGTAACAATGAATAAATGTATATACATATTATTTAAATTTGCCTTTCTCCGTCTGTGGAATAAAAATACAAGGTTACCATAATGAATGGGTTTGTTCGCAAATGACGTCATATAAAAAGAGAGCATATGGAAGTCAGGGAGAGAGAGATGGCGAAGAGAGTAAGTAAGGAGAGTAAGTCGTATAAGAAGGGAGAGTAAAGAGAGACGAAAGAATTAACAATGGGAGAAGGAATGAGAGTTAGTTTTTTACGGCTTATCAACCATTTGCGGGTTATTTAATGCCAGAAAAAAATTATGATTGTAAGAATTTTTTTTTGGTTAATAAGGATTTAGTGATACAAGTGTTACTCATTATCCAATAGCTGGGGATGGGGAAAAGATGTATTTTCACTCAAGTGAATATTTCGAACCCAACAAGAATTCGAACTTTGGTCTCCGATTAACAATTCTGAGCACCATTGCACCACTCGCTCATTCAAGCTTACAGCGACTGGTATTTCCAAGCGGTTACCCATCTAGGTGCTGATGAGGCTCGACATTGCTTAACTGCGGTGATCGTACGGCAACTGGTGTTTCAACTTCATATAACAGTAAGCCGAGAATAAGGAGATTCAGAAAGGAGAGTAAGTAGTGATAGAGAGAGTGAGTAAAAACAATGAAAAGTGAGTAAGGAGAGTTAAGCAAGATGGAGGGTAAGTATGAAAAGAAAGTAAATAATGATAAAGTGAGTGAAAAAAAAAAGAAAGAAAGGAAGGATGTAATGGAAACACGAAGAGAAAGAAGAGATGGAGGGAGAGTAAAAAAATATGAATTGTGTGAGTAAGCAGACCAAGCAGAGATGAAAATCTAGTAAGGAGAGTAAGGCGAGATGGAGGGTCGGTAACAAAGGGATGTAAGGACTGATAGTGAGAGAGTGCATAGACAGGAAGGCGGGATGAAATGAGAGTAAAGAGCGATGAAGGGCGAGTAAAAAAGAGCGAGTAAAATGTGATAGAGAGAATGTATAAGGAGAATAAGGAGAGACGGAAATAAAGTAAAGAGAATAATTAGAAATAGAGAATATGTGCAAAGATTGCTAGAAAGACTAAGGAGAGCAAGGAGAAATGGAAAGAGAGTAAGGAGTGTAAGGAGCAGTGGAAGGTGAGTAAAAAAGGAGAGAATTTTTTTTTTTTTTGGAAGGAAATATTTAATCTTCAGATTAAGCGACCGGTTCATTTTATATCGATACCATATGCGAGAATTAGACAGGCTTAAAGGAACAATTTTCCACTGAAACAGTCTCACGGGGTAAGTCGAAGCAACGGGCATATAACATTGAATTTGGGAGTAAGAGAAAAAATGTAATTACATTCAATGTGTGAAATAATAAGTTCTATTACTAAATAACAACTTATTTGTGTCAAACAAAAGATGGGAATTAGCTGCGAGAAAAGAAAAATAAAGGTTGTCAATTAATTCCCGGGGATTTGACCGTGTCTGACCTTTTATGATTAAGCATATGGATGTCTTTAGATCAATCTTTCTAGTTTCATTTTCTATAGGTCAATCAATTAAATTAGGTAGAAATGGTTTTGTTTTAGTCAATTGAAATTTGTCTCTATTCCCACATTGCTATCTATCTATCTATCTATCTATCTATCTATCTATCTATCTATCACATTCTCTGTAAATATATATATATATATATATATATATATATATATATATATATATATATATATATATATAGGAAGAGAGAGAGAAGGAAATAGTAATATATATATATATATATATATATATATATATATATAGTTAAGATCTGAATAACAGAGAAAGAAAGAAATAAGGAAAGATATGAAATTATTGATATAGCTCCGTAGCTAGATGTTATCTATCTATCTATCTATCTATCTATCTATCTATCTATCTATATATATATATATATATATATATATAGATAGATAGATAGATAGATTGATAGATAGATAAGATCAGAATAATACAAAAGCGAAAGATATGAAGCTACTGATAAAGCTAAGTAGATAGATGTTAACATCTATCTATCTATCTATCTATCTATCTATCTATCTATCTATCTATCTATATTTTTTTTTTTCTCTCTCTCTATATATATATATATAGAGAGAGAGAGTGAAGATAGGAATATATATATATATATATATATATATATATATAGATAGATAGATAGATAGATAGATAGGTTTGGATAATAGAAAACGAATGAAAGAAAGAAGGAAAAATATGAAGTTACTGATATAGCTAGATAGCTATATGTTAGTATCTATCTATCTATCTATGACATTCTCTTCTTAACTATCTATGTATCTATCTATCAATGTATCTATCTATGCTCTGTATATACGTAGGGATATCAACAAGGAGGCAACCTGGCTATGAAAATATCATATTATACAACACAAATATAATATTGTTGTATAATATGCTATTTTCACATATGTAGTATTGTATGGCGGCACAGTGGTAAAAAATCGATTCGCGTCCATTATATTCACTTACATGCTAATATTCTTAGGAAAGGTATGAATCCTCTTCTTCTCACCCCATTTATGGACAGACTGGATTCTATAGCCTTAGATGGCAACTGGTCTAGGAGAAGGACAACTCTGAATTCAAAACCTGCAGAGGGACGTTTGGGGACCTTGTGGCACACATTGCGCCAGGTCTCTGTCTTCGGCCCTTCAAGAAGTGTGATTGGTGCTGCACAGAGCCTTCACCTCTATAATTATATGGATTTCTGCCGGTAGTCTGGCTGTCATTTTCTAGGAATTGTGTTGCTTGATCCTCATACGTCAAAATCGACGGGAGAGTCCAGTATGTAATATTGTAAAATTAATTTCCATCCTTGTCAAAACGTTTAATTCGAGGGTGTTTACAAGTCACTTTGATTGAACCTTATAGAGTGAACATTTTCGATCTAATTACAATAACTTCGTGTAAATGTGTGGAATTATTGATCTCACATCATATACATACGTACACACACAAACATATATATATATATATATATATATATATATATATATATATATATATATATATATATATATATATGTGTGTGTGTGTGTGTGTGTGTGTGTGTGTATGAATGTTTCATTAAAAACGACAGACAAGGTTAAGCTTTTTTTATTTAAATATTCTTGTGTTCTAACAAGAGCTTTCTTTTCTGGATAAAGAGTGTGTAAAAATTGTCCAAATGTTTTATATTTCCGAGCGCTTTCGGCTATACCTTTAGCCATTATCAAGGATGATTCAATTTTTCAGCTTAATTGAGTGTTTGCATTATGTGTATTTTTGTAAATACGGACGTCCATACATGATATCAGAAAACAAGTGCGGTAGCTATAGTAAATTTAAAATTTATTGATAATTTTCTAATATTTTTTCAATAAACATCTTCGTAAGTAAGACTATAAAGCCAAAGTAGCTAAAATTCAATAAAATATTAGAATACTCATATTTTAAATGTGTAAGATGACTGAGTAGTTAAAAAAATTATATGAAAAAGGCGTTAATGCTGTATTCGTCATAAAATGTTATTACGATTATTTCCACCTTATAAATTTTCCAAGCATCAAACTGTCGATAGATGTGTCAACATTTCATAGAAACAACCCTATCCGCGTTGAAAATGCTTTTCCGAGGTACTTGAAAATAAAAGTAAGTAATGTTTATCTCTATTCAAATTAATTAAACTTTGAAGAGGCTAATTTTTCCAAATAACGGTTCAAAATGTATATTTTATTTTTGAAATATTTTTTAATAAAGAGAATTATGTTGTGTTGACAAGTTTGTCAATATGGACGATTTTATCGATTTTTTTCGGTAATCAGAAAACAAGATTGCAATAAGTTTAAAACTGATTTAAAATTCAGCAAAGTATTTTGCTTATTGGAAATATTAAATTTAATCAATTAGCTTGGGAGTAAAACTACAATAAAAACTTCAAAAAAGGTTTTTCATTTTCATAATGTATTTTAACCCCTCAGGTATAGCTTTTACATTAGCGATAACTATACCCCCCACCACACACACACACACACACACACATATATATATATGTAAAGGATGTTCCAATAACTTGGATCGATTTTCAATGTGAATCAAGTTAAGCGTCTAATGATTCTTTCCTTTTTCTTTCAGATTTGGCGGACATTTGGGCGATATTATTTTTCACACATAATTGCTATGACTTAAATAATATGATCAAATAGAGAAATAAGTAAATTTTCACCAATAACACCAATTTATTTATTGCTGACTTTGATCCGTTTTAATGAAACACCCTTTATAATATAAGTGCGTTGTTAATGATTTTACTATAGCAATGCGTTGAAAATCATGAAGAAAGTGACTGTCCATGGTCAGGAATTAATCTAAGCATTACCAATATAAATATATTACATGTATAATGTAAATACATTGCTAATGATTTTATATAGAAATGCATTGGAAATCAGGAAGAAATGGATTATCAGCGTTCAGCAATGAATACAAGCATAATAAGGACTATTATATATAAAAGATGTTCCAGTAAATGGGACCGATTTTTAATGTGAATTAAGTTTAAGCGTCTAATGATTTTTTCGTTTCTTTCAGGTTTGGTGGACATTATTTTCAACAATAATTATCATCACTTAAATAACATGATCCAATAGAGAAATAAATATATTTTTTTACCAATAACACTGATTTATTTACTGTTGATTTTGATCCGTCTTACATATATTCCGTCTTAATGAAACACCCTTTACAAACAGCAGTTATTTTGAATACAGTTTTACAAATATGCACATACGTACAACTCTGTGTGCAAGTGAGATTTAATAGAAATCCCATTGTGATCACTATACAAGTCTTTCCTCCTTTTTTTTTACTTGCGTTTATCTGCAAATTAACCCATTAAACACCGACACCTGACCAATACTTTATCCATAAATATTTTGGACAAATTTAACTGCCTTTGTCTCAAAACAAATCAGTAATAAATGACAGCAAATATCTAATACAAAGCTGATCATATAAACAACTTTATTGTACACGCATTCTAGACTGTGTAATCCTTTTCAATAATTAGATGCCGGTGTGTCAATGCCAATAAACTGGTACAATGAACCCATTTTGTTAAAAATTGTTAGTTTTCTTTAAATGGGAATGTTATATATAGAGAGATTTGGTAGACATTTGGGCGATATTATTTTTCGCACATAATTGTCATGACTTAAATAACATGATCCAATAGAGAAATAAATAAATTTAATTTTCCCCAATAACACTGAGTTATTTACTGCTGACTTTAATCCCTCTTAATTAAACACCCTTATATATAGCCCGCCTTAATGAAACACCATTATATATATATATATATATATATATATATATATATATAGAGAGAGAGAGAGAGAGAGAGAGAGCTGGTGTTAATGAAACAATGTTCGATGTAATAAAACAGACCTACTAAGTATATATAAAGAAATTTACGTAACAGTCGGCCTACACTAACGACCTTAAGATTGCGTTGTACATGATACTCTGAGTTGTCCTACCGGTGATATATATATATATATATATATATATATATATATATATATATATATATATATATATATTCAAGTTGCCACGAAGATTGTGTTCCAACTTGAAACTGACCGTCCCTGCTTGGTGTTGACCTCAAGATCCAATTTTACATTTACATACGCTCTGATATTGAGAACTTTTCCCCATAAATATAGCATACTTTAAAAGTATATTTTTTATAACACACACACACACACACACACACATATATATATATATATATATATATATATATATATCTTGTGATGTGTCGGCCTTAGAGCATGATACATGTTAGCGCACCGATTTAGTTACAAGCGTAGCAGCCTCTGCATAAAATGCGCTCGAATCTAAAAATACTCATTTGTAATTGAAGAATACCGAAGAATCTTGGTTTGGAGGGGGGGCGGGGGAAGCCGGCAGATTTTCCCAGGCGAGGCGGAAATGCTTGCTGCGAATCGATAACAATTCGTAACTAATAAATTCTTCCGAAAAAGAAAACAAGAACGTGAAATTCCTTATTTGCGAGTCATAGCCTCAGAAAGAAAAGAGTTGCGCATATGCAGCAAAAATTATGTCCGAATGCGCAACACCGACGAGTAGGTGTACAAAATGACTAGCATCCTTACAAGGTAAGGGAA